CACTTTTCTCCCCTCCCAACCCTCCCCTCAGTACACTATCCTCTTGGAAAAGTAACAGAAAAATTCTTTTTGTTTTACAAACCCTCCCCCAGCTCCACTCCACTATACAGCCTTCGCTCCGGACTCCTGTCGTGACAAAAATACCTAATAATTAACTCGGCGGCCCTACGAACAACAGATCTAACCCCTGCCATATCCCGCACCGTCCTCAGCATCTCTGCTATACTCAAGCCCATTGGTACAGTCACTGTACCAATCCAGCATGGTGAAGGTCTTCCTCTCTTTGCCTGATCCTGTACCTTTTCCAGCATGATGTCTATTTTTAATGATTGGCCCCTTTTGATAACATGCCCAAAATGTGTGAGACCAAGTTTCACCGTCTTTGTTTTTAAGGGGCACCTGGTTGCACTTTCTCAAAGACGGACTTGTTTGTTCTTTGGGCCGTTCCTGGGCTCTTCTCCAACACCATCACTTAACAGCATCAAGTCTTCTGACGTTCTTACTCACTGGTCAACTTTCCGATGCATAGGAAGTAACTGAAAAGGACCATGGCTTGGATAAGGCTCTCCTTAACACCTGATCATTTTAGAGTAACGGAATTCTAAAGCACACTGTTCTGAGCCTGAGTAGTAATATGTGTTAATTGTCCACTGCCATCGGCAGCTTCAGCATTCTTAGGTGGGGTCTGGGACGCTGGGGGAAACTAAGGACAGAGTTCTGTCATACTTCAGGAGGATCTGGGACCAGCCCTGTGGTCAACAAGCAAAAATATTTGTGGAATGAACAAACAGAATGCTTAAAGGGCAGGGCATTCTCAGCACAGCTTGCAGCTTAGAGAGAGATGGAAATAGGATAGAAGAAAGGAATGCTGGGTGATGGTGGTGCAAGGGTGGTGGGGGTCCTTTGGAGAAGAGTAGAAATAGAGACTTCACCTGTGAGTTCATAAGTACTTGACCCAAGGGAGTCAGACAAGGATGTGAAAAGTTAACTCATCAAGCATGAGCTCTTTCCAAATGGGTAATGCACGCATTTAGAAGGACAATTTTAAGTCAACACAGAACACATGTTTAAGTGTTCCAGGCACTTGAGGCTTGAGGGGCCTGTGCTTTCCTGTCTGGACAGAAGCAAAAGAAGGCGTTCATAAGAGGAAGGAGGGAGGAAGGGGGAGAAAAGGTGGGGGGAGAAGAAGAGGGAGGGCGGGAGGGAGAGATAAGTTCTTTGTTGGAGTCCATTTGAAGTCCAATTCTTCGCACAGATAATAACATTGATTTTGCCATCTAAGGTCCTCTATAATAAAGCTGCCTAAGTTCAGGACTGCTTTTTGAGACCAGTTTCATGTATTAGTTCACATATGGAAAATTAACAGGTAACAAGCAGTTGATGGTGATGGTGGAGGACACAAGACACAAAGATGAACAGGTCAGGCTCACTTTCAATCTTTCCAAAAGTGGGATTTTCTGTGCTTATATTTCCCAGAATAGCACAAATGTTACATGATATCTGATGACAGCTTAGGGAAATGCAGCCACTAACTACAGGCTAAATTACTAACGCGTTCCTTCTGGTTGCTACCTCTGCTAGGTGAAAGGTTACTTTTGTGTCTCTCCTATTTCATCTCTGGAGAGTACAAAAACAATAAAATTAGCTTGACCCACTGTACAACCCCAAACTGATTTTAAAATTTACTTATTAATCCTGCCTGTTGTTGGTTGAATTCAACAGGAATGAGATTATATATATATATAAATATATTTATTTTTCATTGTGTTAAAAGTTGGCTGAAAGATCAAGGTTGATAACATAATAAAACATAAATGTCAAACAATGACTTGAAAATATACCTGTCCCGTATATTAAAACAGTTTTTAGCCCATGTGGGCATCCTTGTGTGTACCATATAATCCAAGCATATTTTCACTACTTTGGAATTTTCAGCCCTTCTATTTTAGGTGTGAACATACTACCTTGGAATGGCAGGTAAGCACGTGCTGCTGTTGACAGTTAAAGACGTTCAGACATTTCAGTTACAGTACTCTGCATTGCATAGTGTGCACAGTTTATGTTATACAGAGACACTGGGGTCCTCTCAGCAGAGATCCACAGGACATCAAACATTCACATCTTCTTTCTAAATCTGCAGCATGTTAAATTAAATACATTCCACATCCACTCTCCACTTTGAATTTTATATCCCTTTTTGGGCAGCAGAATGGTTAGACTTGAAGATAAAGGTATCTGGTTATTTATATATATTTCATTACTGCATCTATTTTTTCCATCTGCTCATAAAGTTCCAGACTTGACTTGTAACTGAGAACCATAACTGAAGGCTCATAAATAATCTTTTTTTTCCCCTCAAAGCATGCTTGTTTAACACTAGACATGATCATTCAATTCAGGTGATCATGGGCATTTGGAAGAAAAACAAATATTTGAACATTTGAGTCACTCATGATATTGGAAAGCAACAACTGTAGCCACTGTCTGCAGCCTCTTCAACTGGCCTTTCACCTCAGAAATCACCAAAGCTTATTTAACACTTCTCCCTTACAAAGCATGAAAGAAAAGAGGTCCTCAGAGTGAATGGAGAACTCCATATGAACGCAGCTACGTTAGCTGTGTTCCACGAAGCTATTTTCCAGAATCATTTGGAAGAATTTAGGTTTTAAATATTAGGATTTTGCCATTAAAGGACTTTGGAATTCTAGGGTTTGAAATTGGAAGACTTAGAAATAAAGCAACCTAAGTTCAGGGCTATTAAATGTTTATTGAAAGACCCACTTTGGAAAATTGATTCTTTGCTAGTACTTGTTTCACTATTAATTCTTTCGTGACTGCATGAAAAGACATTGGGCACATTTATTCTCGTGTTCTCAATAATGATAAAACAAGGCTGTAAGATATTGCACAGAGGCCAGAGTTCAGAAAAATGTTTTGGGAAAGAATTTTTCTATGAACGGCATCATAGAAAGGTGGAAGGACAGTGCAGGAGAGGAAGATCCCAGTTGGGATGGATTGATACAGTAACTGGAGTCAGAGACAGTGAGACTGGCTCAGATATGGCAGAGTTCAGAGATAGTGTATGTACACAGGGTCACTATGAGTAGCAGGTGACTTGGTGACACATAAAAACAATGACAACAATACAAGCTAAGCAAGAATCTTGGCTGGGAATTCACAACTTAACACATAAGAAAGGGTACTGATATCCACAGAGAGGGATATGGCAGGATTTGGCAGTCAGAATTTTCTCACCTACCAGAATCTTTCTCGGAAGTTGAGATGGGAGACAGTAATGATATAAATCTAATGTATTTTCTAGAATGCTGAGAAAAATAATGATCATGTAAATGTAAATATCTTCACCCTCCAATTCTCGTGTTCTTTTGTCTTAAGAATAGCTCTAAAAGAACCAGGCCAAAATAGAAAACATAACTAAGTAATACACAACATAAGGAGAGTTGAGGGATTCTTTAAGTGCGTAAAGGGCAAGTGTAAGCTGATTAGAAGCCTAGGGGGTCAGGAGTTACACTGCCAACCTAAAGGCAGGGAGTTCGAATCCACCAGCTGCTACAAAGGAGAGAAGTGTGCCATCTTCTCCCATGCAATCTAGTCTCTGAAAATTTTCTGCTGGGTCAGCTTTGAGTCCATTCCAAATCAAAAGTATGTAACAACAGTATGGTGGGAAGAATCTGAAGAAAGAAACAGAAGTTGAAGTCTAGTCCCAGCTGTGTGATCTTGAGATTGTCAGAATCTCAGTCCTCTCAACTGTAAAATGGGAGGGAGGCTCAGACTTTTTACCTCTGACCTCCAGGAAACTCCCAGTGTCAATTGTGATCTTTTGTTGTACTTTTGGTGGAAGATGGCGTAGAAAATGAGTTTCCTTTTAACCGTTTCTATACATATTTCTCAAGGGCCTCTGGTGGCTTAATGTTAAGAAATGGTCCTGCCGACCCAAAGGCATGCACATGCAACCCACCAGCTGCTCTGCAGGAGACAGATGGGTAATTTCCTCCTGGGTGATTACTTACCACCTGTGAAAACCTGCTGGAGAGTCAACTGTGGGTCGATTCCATCTCTACATCACACAACAATACATACTGTTCAGGAATATTGGTTACACATTCTACAGTGTGTCAACCTGCATGTTATTTCCATTCTGCTAGTTCCTTTTCCATGTCCCTACACCCTGAAATGTTTTTTAAGAAGTTTTGGTGGCACAGTGCCTAAAGCATGGGAGGGGTGGAGGTGCCAACCCAAAGTTCAGCAATTTTAATCTAAACGTTCCACCTGCAGAAAGAAGGGCTGTCTCCTCCTTAGTATTTACAGCCGCCAAGCCAGCAAGCATCACTATGAATCAGAATGATCCCAGGCAGTGGGCTTAGTTTTCTTGTATATAAATAGATATTACTTTGGGAAATCAGCTGAGTAAATTGAAGAGACTACAACCTGTCTCATGAATTGGAGAGTGTAACTGTTTGGGCAAGCTGAGCCTTGGTTCCTACCACATGCACTGAAGCAATGGGAGAAACAAGCCTGAATGCGGAACGCATTGCCAGTTCAGTGTCAACTGTATTTTTCAGTCAAATGCACTAAAGATACATTGCAAAACATCAGAATGACAACTGAAAGTAAAAGTATTGGCTGTGCTGGCCACTCGCAGCTGACAGTCTGCGAGCAGGCAAGCCAAGAACGCCAGCCATCTGTGTTTCATTCAGCGCGGTTTATGTTAGAGGGGCTCCTTGGCTTACCGTGCAGGAGGGAGAGGTGGTCACTTGACACGGGGACATGCAGGGAGAGAAGGATCTAGAGAGAGGCCAGAAAAGGTCGTGGGGATCGGAACCAGCTCCCGGTGTCTTACCTCCTCCGCAGGACTCGGAGCACTTGGTGAAGCCCTCGTACTCCCAGTCGTAGAGCTCGTCCACGTCCTGCAGGCCTCCAAGGAGCCCCTGCTTCTCCTCCGGGGTCCACTCTGCGAGCTCCCCGCTGCAGGGTCCCGCGTAGCAGGCACGCTGGGAGGCGGGTCTGGGCCCCTCGCACTCATCAGCAGGCAGGTCCGCCACCGACTGAGAGAAAGACAGGAGCACCTGGCACCTGACCGTTCGCACCTGGGTCCCCACGCCACAGGTCACCGTGCAGGCCGACCAGGCCTCTGGGATGAACCTGCAGCCAGCAAGCAAACAAGAGGACAGGATGAGAAGGCCCAGGCAGGAGACCGCGGGGGTGCGGAGGGTCTGCATCCTCTCTGCCTCGGCTGGTTGCCCACTGCTCTCTCGGGGGTTCGCAGGACTCTGCAGCCCTGTCCTGGGATGGGTGCTTCGCTTAGTTCATGAGCTCATCTGCCACTGTCACTGGATTGGTTTTGCTAGGAGTGTCACATGCACTCCCAGCTGGAGTGCGTTCATTCCAGGCACAGACTACCTGCTAACTCCCCACTCTGCCCCCACCATGGTCGCTCTTCAGAGGAGGGGCTGGGGGTGTCTTCTCTCGCTCCAAATCCCAGCACTTGTGTCTCCAGCAAGATGCTGGCTATTCTTGTAGCAGACTAATATTGATACTGAAAGCTATAACGAAACAAGCCCTCGGAGATATTTAAGGACCTATTTTCTCTTTTAAGCCTGGATCTCATATTCTGTAACTTTCTTTGCTTTTCTGTTCAACGTGCTTCCCAAGATTTATTTATATGTAGAAAGAGGTTTGCTTGTCCGTTTCCAAGAATGGAGCAGAAGCCTTGGTCCTTGCACATTCTTTGAATTAGTCTGCACTCCAGTTCTTTTTATATCATTGAAAAAGGCCATGCTGGAACTTTCAGTCCACAGGCATGCCACAGCTCGCGGTGGTTCTAGGGTTGTCTTCAGGCTGTTCAACATTCTCCACACCCACCTTGCCAAAGAAGCCACAAGGGGAAGAACGGTTTTTCTCTGAGTTTCTCTAGCATGCAGCACAAGATCCAAATTCCAAAAAGGTCTCTCTAACCCCTGTCTTTAACCCCACACCAACAATGGCCACAGTGAAATGACCTTGAGAGGGGCCAAGGGAAAAGTGCCCAAAGGGGACAGCTAATATTTTCCAATATAGTTAGTAGAATAATGTGAAGAAAGAACTTTGGGATTGAAATTTCTGTTTTTCCATGATCCCATTGCATTCTCACAAGCAGTCATGCAGGGGAGGCATGCAAACCTGGCTTCTTAACCTTGACTTTGGCAGAAAAGGAAAGAACTGATAAGAAGGTTAGAGCATTAAGTTTTTGCAAAGGCAAATGGTTTTGATCTCATTTAGGAAAATGGAAATTCTAATAGCGAACCAATCCAAAGTTTGAAATTGGAAGGAATGCAGCGAAGACGTTTCCTGAGCCTGAACCTAGCTCAGAGGTGATCTACCAAAGTCACACTGTCTTGGAAGGTAGCAAACCATACTATAAGGGCAAACCAAAACCCCTGACCAGCAGCCACCAAGTAGATTTCAACTCATGGGATTCTACCCACAGGTTTCAGGGTAGAACTGCCTTCTATAGGGTTTTCAATGTCTATTATCTGTGGGAGCTCTGGTGGCCTAGTAGTAAGGAGGTGCACTGCAATCCCAAAGGCACATGGTTCAAATCCACCAGCTGCTCTGCAAGAGAAAGATGGGCAATCTCCTCCTTTGCAATTAACCTATGAAAACTCACTGGAGGGTCAGCTATGGGTTCTTTCCACCAGTACACAACAATAATAACAGCAATTATCTTTCAGACACAGATCATGAAGTCTTTCTTCCAAGCTGTCTGGGGGTAGGTTAGTAGGGCTTTTGGTTAGTACCCAAAGAACCCAAAGATGTGGCAAGGGTCCCTTAGAAGAGGTGTCTCATCTTAACCACCTTCAACAAGCCATCTTCTAAGGAAGAACAAGGTCATCTTAACCTAGTTAGAAAGGCAAACGAGGGCAGAATGGCCACCCAGAATTAATCCCATCAAATTCTTACCAAACTTAACCTCCCATGTTTTTAAAATTCTTGACTCAATCTTTTCTCATCTTGAGAAGTTGGGAGAAAACAGTACCTTAACAGATTAAAAAGTCTTTCTCTCATTAAAAGTTCCTTCTGTAGTGTCTTTGTAGAAATGTTAAAGCTAAATCTATAAGCAAAGTCACTTTAGCACTGTTAGGACACATTCATATCCAACTGCCTTGTGTTTGGCACAGTCGTCATGACAATTGCCCCAGCAATGAGCAATATTATAAGCATATAGACATAAGAAAGATGCACATTAAGTTATTTTGTGTCTTAGAAAAAAACACAAAGCAAATGAAAAGCCTGCCAACTTTGACACCAGTGTTCTGAATAATGCTAAAAAAAATGAATAATCCTCCATGATTTTTTTTCCCAACAAGAAAAATGACAAAATTTCAAAAAGAACTACACTTTATTTGCTGTTTCCATACAGTAAAGATTCTGGTTGTGTCAAACAGTACAATAGTACAGTAGTCCTCTTTCATGACCAGTAAGAGGAGTCAGCGAACTTTTTCTGCAGAAGACTAGGTAGAAAATATTTTGGGTATCTGAGTCATGTGGTCTCAGCCATTACATTGCAAAGCAGTCACAGAGCATATGTAATAAAATGGGCATGTCTGGGTACCAATTAAACTTTATAAAAATAAAACGGTGGCAGAAGAGCTAGTTTGTAGTAAAGATGGTGGAGGAATAGGTTTCAAAGTTATGAGTAGCACTGTGTTCCCCCAAAATATCTATTCAATTCTTGGCCTGTTTGAAATCAGGGTTTTTCTTTGGTTGTGTCAACAAAGTCACAACAGTGTAGGACGATCCTAACCACTTCCCGGTTATAAAAAGGCCATAACAGACACAGAGATACATACAGAGGGAAACGGCAGATTCCATGTGAGAATTCAGTAAAAATCAAGGAATGCCAAGGAGCAAAAAAGACCGGAGCCGCAAATAAGAAAGAAATCAACAAGGCAGAGATCCTGATTTGGACTTTGAGTCTGAAAATACACCTCTGTGCTTTAAAGCCGCTCATTTGTGTTATTTGTGCCAGAACATCACTGAGCAACTAAAACAACCACCAAACCTTATTTTCAGTCATAGTTTCTCTCTTCCTTCCGTGCATATAAATCTATGGGACAGACAAGTAGCCAACTTGATTTGTGATTTTTCTTCCAAAGTGAGTCCCAGATGAAGTCTGGAATATAAACGATGCACGAAATGTACCCTCCGTTCTCCTCACTCAGAATGAGAACCACTTTGCATTTGAGCTCCTCCCAGGATCAGGACGATGCACAGAAAACACACCACAGAGAAACCGAGCGCCAGCAGAGCCCTGCAGACTTGCTGCAATGATTGAAATGTGTTTAAATTGGCATGTCTAAATGAAAACAAAAATGCAAATATATGTGTGTGTGAAAACTATGTCTACATAAATATAACTCTCAGTATATGTATCTGGGAATTTAGGATTAATAGCAAAACAATAAACATCTGCTCTATGTCTCTCAAATAAGAATCTTTATCAAATGTAAAACAGCCTTACTGGCTAATCTCCCAACCCACTGTCCTCAGCTCTTCATCACAGTTCCCACCAATTAAAAACAATTTGGTTTTTAAGTGGTGCTGTCTTTTGGCAGTTACCTTAATTTCACTAGCGCACACACTGTACTATGCAGTCTCTCGCTGAAAGCAGGAGACTGGATTTCAAAAGAAAAATACCTGGTAGTGCAAAGGGCCAAATGAATAATAACTATTTTTCATAAGCAGCTTTCCGCCTTCTTCCTAAGGAGCATCCAGCTCTGTATTTACTATCTAGTGCTTTCTGGCTAAGACTGCGTGGAAGCAAGGTCAGTGAGAGGGCGAGGGAGGCAGTTTAAATGCAATGCTCAGAAATCTCATCTTGAACAGCCTTTGATGAGTTTGAAACTTCAAAATGGGACTTCGAGAAGGAAGAGCAATAGGGGGTCTTGTTAGCCTTTGATCATTTTGACTGCAGCATGTAAAATCAATTTTTTAATAAAGCATTCACTGTTACTGAAAAATATGAAAAGGTTCCTTTAGAAATTCAAAGTGTGTATTATTATTATTATTATTATTAGCAGCAGCAGCAGTACTTCAGGGTAAATAATGAATGACTACTAAAGTGTTAGTTGTCTTTTGTTTTTTGGTTTTTTTTTAAGAGTAGCTTGCACTTCAGAAGTAACTGATAAGGGCTTCTGCATTTAGTCTCCCCATCTCTAAGAACTTAAAAAGCAAGTAAACTTGACAAATGAATGATTTATGCTTTGTCTTATCTCATCTTCTACTTGCAAGCTTGATTATTCATTCCATTAACAAAAAGCTTCTTTAGAATTTTAACCACAGTCTATGTGATGAAATAAAAACAATAGTGAAAATGAAATTCACTTGTAAAATCTCTAAGTGGCTGAGCTTATTAGTGGCTATTAAGAAGTCGGAAGCATGCACTAAAATAAGAAAAACAATCACGTTGTTCATATAATGTTAAACAGAAACAATCTCTGGCTTATTAGTCTCATGTCATTACAAGAATTGGCTAGAGATACGAAAAAACCAAATTCATTGTATTGAAATCCATACCAACTTACAAGACAGAGCAGAACTACCCCACTGGGTTTCCAAGGCTGTAAATCTTTACAAAAGCAGACAGCCCTATCTTTCTCCCAAGAAACAATCGGTGGGTTAGGACCACTGATGTCCCAGTTAGCAGCTGAGCTCAGTAACCAGTAGGCCCCCAGGACTCCGTTAGGCAGAATAAAATTCTACTTTTGTACATGCACAGTCTGTAACTATGAAACTCTGTTTCCCCTTTTATCCCATTACATGCATGCCTCTTTCCTCATACACATTTTGGCTAAAAAAACCATGAGGATTATTCAACATAAGAATTGCTTTATAGGTGTGTTATTTGATGGTGTCAACTAAGTTTCATGCTGTAGTTTCAAAATTCAGACTGAAACGTGCAGACAGTCACAACAGAAAGAATGAATTTGGGTACAGGGCTTTGGGTTATGAGTTTTTTTGAGTTATGGGCCTATAGGGATTGTGGTTTTCTCTTCTCATTTGTTGTATGTATGCATATTAGAGTGGTCACATGACAGTAGGGCAAGAGAAGAGAATGAACTGAATAGTGTAGGGAAAATTACAGACTTGGAAAAGGATCATAG